GATGATTTGCTTTCATAGCATGCAAAGGATATCTGCTTCCTAATGAATTAATCAATGCAAACCCTACTTGGGACTGAGTGGTAGAGGGTAACTCTCAAACCAGTGGACAAAAATTAAAAGTAGCTTCTGATTTTCAAAGCAAGCTACTAGAATTCATTTAGCACTGAAACAAACAAATAAAAAGCCTAAGAAACTTAAAACATGCAATATTGAAAAAGGACACATGATATTATGTAAATAGACATTCATCTGTGGTGGTATGGATAACAAAGAACTAACAAGGTAATCAGACACAATTTCTCTTCCAGAGGAGTCTATCTGTTCAGACCATCCTTCCTGGTCCAGTTCCTCCTCAAACAACATGAGGTCTTCTCTACTACTTGCCACAGTGATTCAGTGACAAATGTCATTACCACCCAGAGCACCAATATGAGGTAAGACATGGTTTTTTAAATTTGCAACATTTATTGAGACAAATGCTTGCTGGTTAGCCCCTAAAGATAGTTATAGATGACAGGTATCACAAAATCTCTGGCACAATGAAGAACAAGTAAGCAGTTACACTTATTGTAGTTCCTACTGATTTCCTTGATGCAAACTTTAATTTCTTCTTAGCAAAGTTCCAAAGTTCTTTGAACTCCTGCTCATTAATATTTTATCCAGATTTTTAGAGCAGCCCTAACATGTTCACAGAACTCTAACTGCCGTGCTGCACCTTACAATACACAATGCTCTCTGTCCTTCTTGCCCTTTGTGAACTCTCCAAGAGAGGGAGTCCTACATGGAGCACACCAAAGTGAAGAGGCTGGAATGGGCTACAAGGCAAATAATCACTTGATCTTACTAGGAAATCATACCCTAGAAAGAATCTAGGATTATATGTTAGTAATCAATTTCTTTGGTGTTATTTTATGTCTTCAAATCAGCTACTACTCATGCCAACCCTGTGAACAACAGATCTGAACCCTAGCCCATCCTGAACCATTCTCACCATGTCCAACACACTTGAAATTATTGTTACACACATTGTGTCAATACATCATGTTAAGGATTTTCCTCTCTTACACTGACACTCCATCTTTTCAAGCATGATGTTCTTTTCCAAGGATTAACTTCTCCTAACAACATATCCAAAGTATGTGAGACAGTTTCAAAATCCTTAACTCCAAGGAGCACCCTGGATTCACTTTCTGGGATAGACATGTTTGTTCTCTTTGTCCTTGGGATGTTCGTTACTCTTCTCCAACACTGCAACTTAAGACATCAATTCTTCTTCTGTAATTTTTAGTCATTGTCCAATGTTCAGATATATAACAAGCAATTATGAAGACCACGCCTTGGGTCAGATGCACCTTAGTCATTAAACTGGTATCATTGCTGTAAAAGGAGCAGTTATAACTTGAGGATGGCTGAGTCTGACCTCTGTCCACTTCATAAAGGACAACTGTCCGCATTAATAATATTCATAGTAACAAATAGATATCTGCTTGGTCAAACACAGAACCTCCCCCCACTCTCCTACACCTCTTTCTACCAATCATTCTGGTCCAATATTTGTTATTGACTCACAGGGTTTACTCACAGTTGTAGTACCAAGAGTGGAGTTTATTAAAAAAGTAAATTAGAAAATGGTGTATCACCCAATGCAAGTCCACTTTTTAGTCCAGTAATCCCAAGCCATTGACAGCAAAACACAGTTCCTCAATTAGCAAAAAGCCCAGTTCAGTTCAGTACACAAATCCAAATCACCCAGAGTGGTTTGTCTCAGAGCAGTTACAAGTCAGCTTTCCCTTCACTCATCTGGCAGGCACACCAAAACCTCTAATTTGCCTTTATGTCAGGGCTCCTCTGGCAACACCTTGCCACAATTTCTTCATAGCAATACCACAGTCTCTCCATCCCATCACCAGAGTCTCACCATGAAGGTCTTGCTCCAGTATCCCTCAAGTCTTTCTGCCCAGTGTGGGAAGCACTCTCTTAGCCTAGTCTCACAGCTGTTGATGATTTACAAGACCGTGTGTGTCCAGTTAAGATAGCTGGAGACCAAAGAGATTAATGTAATGGCTAGTTTTAACTAATACCACAGTTGCCCTTTGGTACTCTGGAACAGTCTCTACCAACAGATTTTCCCAATATAACTTGTCTTTTGAGTTTTTGACTGCTGGTACCAAGGATGTTAATTGTGGATTGAACAAGATGAAATCATCAATAAGTTCATCCTTTTGTCTGTCTGTCATGATATTGCCTATTGGCCTGGTGGTGAGGATTTTTGTTTTCTTGATATTGCTATGTAATACATATTGAAGGTTGTAGTCCTTGATCTTGTGCAGCAAGTGCTTCATGTTTTCCTCACTTTCAGTGAGCAAGGTTGTGTGATACGCATAACAGGTTGTTACGAGCTTTCTCCAGTTCTGGTACCACGTTCTTCTTTATAAAGTCTTCTTCATCATAATTACTTCTTCATAAAGTAATTATGGGTAATTAATAGGGTAAGAATTTTTAAGAGAAAAAATGGAAAGCACGGTGTGTAAGAGAGGAGTACCAAACTAGAGGCTGAAGAATAGCAAGAGCTTATCCCCAAAGAAGAAAGAGAGGAGTTGAAAAAGAGATCAACAGATGAAATGGGTGTGATACAAGACAGTAGAAGAAAGGAAATTGAAGAGGAAGTTACCTCAGCAAAAATTAAAGCCAAAAAGGAATATATCTAGCCATTTATAAATCTGTAGGTATAATAGATATGATAAATCCAATTCAAGATCAAAGTAAAATATAAATGTAATGCAAACATAAGAAGGACTTCCTAAAAGTTATGACAGTGATATAAAACAAAAGGAGAATTCTGAATGCTCATTTTCTGAAAGTTGAAATATATCAAGATTATTCCTAAGTTAGAAGATATATTAAAACTCTCTGAAGGGCCATCCCAGAATGATTAGATTTTTGTCCTGTTCATAGCCTCCATTTTCTATTGTTGTTGTTATGTACTGTCAAGTCATCTGCAACTCAAAGTGACCTATGCACAATAGCTCTAAACACTGTCCTATCCTGAGCCCACACACACCAGTCCCTATTACCCCAGTTACTGTGTCAATACATCTCATCCAAGGTCTCCATATCCTGTGTTGACCCTTCACTTTTCCAAGCATGATGTCCTGCTCCAAGGACTGATCCCTCCTGGCAATTTCAGTGTTACTAAGAGAGCTGTCTCCTGTTAGGAAGCCTGCAATAACTTAGAATGAGGCCCTACTTCTCTCAGTCAGAGTGAGTAGTTAATGTAGCAACAGCAACAGCTGAGAAACTGAGAGCCAACGGGTGAATGTCAAGCTACACGTGATTGTCTACAAAGAGATACTGTCACTATACGGACAACCTAAGATGATTTTTTATTTTCCTTAAAATGTCAGCACTCTCATCATTTAAAAGTAGGTAACAAAAGTAACAGCAGTTTTATTCTTTTTTTTTATTCTTCTTTTTTATTCTTCTAAATAATGTACCTTCAAATATCTCTCAACTGCTTCCTGAATATGATCATCTATAAGTTTATAGCCAAGTTCAAGCAGTGTAATCCTCAAAAAAAGTTGTGCATTTCCTTATTTTACATAGGTCACAGAACCCCACCTATAATATCTTCTGTTTCACGATTGCATATATTAGAGTTGGTTGTTACTCCTTCAACACGGAAGTCCCCAAAGAGATGCAGCACTTCTCTTGATGCTTAATCAAACTAGAATCAAGTAGAACCAGAGTTATCCAGCTTGAGATATTATAGTTCTATGGCTCTGGAATTTTTCATGCCTTCCAATAATGCTAACTTACCTAGGATTCAAAAAAGTTTTAAAATTTTACTGCAATTTGATAATTGGATTCGGAGGCCTCAGTGAATGCATTAAATTATCTTACAGCTATCTCTCAGCCTTTTCCTTCCCTTGTTCTTCTACAGACCACAGACAATGGACCTCAGGAATGGCAGCACAGTGACAGACTTCATCCTTGTGGGTTTTGAACAGAGCTCCCCTTCCACTCGGGCGTTACTCTTTGTTCTCTTCCTAACCCTCTACAGCCTGGCCATGGCTATGAATGGTCTCATCATCTTCATCACTTGGAGAGACCCCAAGCTCAACAGTCCCATGTACTTCTTCCTTGGCCATCTGTCCTTCCTGGATGTCTGTTTCATCACCACCACCATCCCACAGATGCTGATCCACCTGGTAGTCAAGAACCACACTGTCTCTTTTGTCTCTTGCATGGCCCAGATGTACCTGGTCTTCTCTATGGGTGTGGCTGAATGCATCCTCCTGGCTTTTATGGCCTATGACCGTTATGTCGCTATCTGCCACCCACTCAACTATGCCCAGATCATGAGCCGGCAGGTCTGTGTGAGGCTGGTAAGTACTGCCTGGGTCTTTGGGATGATTAATGGCATCTTTCTTGAGTATATGTCATTCCGGAATCCTTTCTGCAGAGACAATCATATAGAAAACTTCTTCTGTGAGGCCCCCATAGTGATCGCTCTCTCGTGTGGGGATCCACAGTTCAGCATGAAGGTGATCTTTGCTGATGCCATTGTGGTGCTGCTCAGCCCCATGGTGCTCATTGTCATCTCCTATGCCCGCATCCTGGCCTCCATCCTGGGCAGGGCCTCCTCCTCTGGTCGGGGGAAGACCTTCTCCACTTGTGCCTCCCACCTGACTGTGGTCATCTTCTTCTATACCTCAGCCATGTTCTCCTACATGAACCCCCGCAGCACACATGGGCCTGACAAAGACAAGCCTTTCTCCCTCCTCTACACCATCATTACCCCCATGTGCAACCCCATCATCTACAGTTTCCGGAACAAGGAAATGAAGGGGGCAATGGTGAGGGCCCTCAGGAGGAGCAATCTGGCCCAGGCAGAGGGTATCTAACAGAAGGAGTCCTGGAGGGGAAGCTGTTCTTATAAAGTGAGACTTTAACACCAATATGGTTTATGAATAACTCTCCTGTGAAAAGGCTCCAAGCAAGAGCATTCAGGGCTTCCTTTGTTCTGGCAGCAGACATGAAGTTGCCTTTGTCAACTAATATTTATATCCCTCACTTGACTTTACTCCAAACATAGATTAACCTTTACCACCTTCTCTTTTTATTATTATTTTTATTATGATTTGAGTGAAATTGTACAAAAAAAATAATTTTCCATTCAAAGTCATCTATACACATCCTGTTCTAGAACACTGATTTCAATACCCACAATGTAGTCACAGTTTTCCCTCTCCTTCCTTGTAATTCTGGATTTTTTACTAATTCTTTTATGTCTGTGTCTTCCATTTCTTTAGTGATATTGTGCTGATAATCTCTTCATAGCACATTTTCATGACTAGAGGGACAAGTATAACAAAACTTGCAATTTTATTCCAGAATCTGGACAAATGAAGGCTACTTATCAATAAAAAGCCCTTAAAATGGATAACCAGACAAAATTTTTTTTTCTTTCTGGAAGACAGCTTTCTATACTTTTAACTATAGATTGGCGGAAAGTACAGACTGAGTCTAGAGGGATGCATACAAGTCAGGAAAAGAGAAATATGCTATGAAGTGTGTGATGTAATCATTATATGATGTTGTTGCTGTTATGTACCTTTCAGCCTGAACCAACTCATAGGTGATGCAGTACAACACCTTACCACTAAACCACCAGAATTACTGAATCTCTATATGTTGGTCCCAAATTTAAGATAGTTCCCAAAGCCAGGAAAGGGAGGACTTGTTTCCCAAATATGTACGGATTAATGGGAAAGAAAGGATTAACAATCTTCCCATGTAATTGAAAAAGTTCTGAAAACCTGCAGAAGGGCCAGGTAAGAGTTCCAACTGGAGAGGAAGGGCAGAAGTTCCAAATGATGAGGAGGAAGGGCAGAAGCAAGAGAAGAAACCATGAGGCATGTCCTAACTTTAAGGAGTGTAAGTTGAAGGTGAGAGTTATAATAAAATTGCCCAGGCCAATTCTTTGAGTGACACCTGCAGTGTACAAGAATTTAACTAGATCACTTTATATTATTTGCATATACTTGACACTAGAATAGATGTTGTTGTTGTTGTTGTTATGTGCCATTGAGTCACTTGCGACTCTTGGCAACCCTATGTACAAGAGCCCTAAACGCCATTCTATCTAGTGCCAATCTAGCCATCTCAAATGCACTCATTCCCACCACTCCAGTCATAGACTCGATCCATCTCATCAAAGGTCTTCCTCTCCTTCGCCGCCCCTCCACTCTGCCAAACAAGATGCCCCTCTCCAAGGACCAATCTTTCCTTGCAACATGCCCAAAGTATGTCAGATGAAGCCTCAGAATCCTTGACTCCAAGGAGTATTTTGACTTCACCTTCTCCAGGACAAACCTGTTCATTCTCCTGGCAGTCCATGGTATATTTAACACTCTTATCCAGCACCACAGCTCAAATGCATCAATTCTCCTTCTATCATCCCTATTCACTGTCCAACTCTCTGATGCATAGCACATAATTGCAAAGACTATAGCCTGGATCAGCAGCGTCATACATATGCAGAGAGACTCCTTCCTGTCTCTTGTTTTACTAGTCATACATTCACATTCTCAGAGACTCTACTTAAATCTCTAATTTTTTTCCTCTACTTCTGTTCCTTTGCCTACCATCTACAGCAGTGGTTCTCAACAGGAAATTATTTTTACTTTAAGGGATATTTAACAATGTCTGAAAACATTTGTGATTGTCACAACTTAGAGACAATATTATGAGCATCTAGTAGGTAAATCCCAGGGATGCAGTTACAATGCATTGTACATTCTACAATGCACAAGACATTCCTACACAATAAAAAAAATGTTTGGGCCAACAGCAAGCAACAAAAGCTGGCGAGTTTGTGGAGAAACTGTTGGTGGAAGTGTAAAATGGTTCAACAACTGTGAAAGGAGGTGTGATGCTTTCTCAAAAACTTGCAAATAGAGATACCATTTGAGCCTGCAATTCCACTACTGGAAATATACCCCAAAGAGACCATAACTGCCACCCAAACAAATAAATGCACATCCATGTTTATCACATCTTTGTTCACAATAGCAAGGAGCAGGAAACAACCTAAGTGGATAGAGAAGCTGTGGTATAGTCATACAATGGAATACTATGCTGCATTGCTCATGCAATATTATTCAAAATGGGTGACCCTGGAGGACATTATGCTAAGTGAAATAATCTCAGTCACACAAGAACTAATACTGCATAGTGCCACTGTTGTAAAACAGGACTGACGTTGCGGTTTGGGTGGGGGGGGAACTGAGAAAGATGGACTCAATAGTGTATACTGCATTGAAACAGATGAGGGAGAAAACTGTTTAAGAGGGATATGTTATTAGGTATTTTTGTCATGATAGGAGTCCAGAACGAAGGCTGCATAGTGGAGTGGACCAGGGGATGGAAGGGATTGTAAAACAATGAAAGAATTTTTCTTTTACTTTTCAAAGAGTAGAATGTACTTGGGGGGTGGGGGAGCAGGGAGAAAAGTACAACAATGAATGAATGGAAATCCAAAGTCCCTGTAAATTTTCATTAAAATTAATAATTTAAAAAATGTTTAGGCCAAAAATGGCAATAATACTGAAGTTGACAACCTCTAATAGAATGAAGTATTCAAGTGCAAAATCAGGAAAATTATAACACAAATTAATAGGGGAGAAAGAATCAAGCTAATTATAACAGAAATTAATATGGAAGAAAGAATAAAGCTAGCAAGACATTAAATTGCTGAAGGCCATATCCAAAGTCTATGGACAGAATTTCTGCTGGCACTGATATGGCAAACAACATTCTATTCAAATTGTTATTGTTGTTGTTAAGTGTCATCCAGTTAAGTACAACTCATAGTGACACTATGAACAAAAGATCTGAACCCTGCTCTATCTTGTGCCATCCTCACACTTCCTGACACACTAGAGCCCATTGTGGCAATCACCATGTCAGTCCACCTCACTAAAGGTCTTCCTCTCCTTTGCCAACTTCCCAGCATCATGTCCCTCTGCCCGAATCCTCATCATTCCTGCCCCAGAGAGCACTCCAAGATATATCTGTTTGTTCTCTTGGTCGTCCATGGGTACTTTTCTCCAACACCACAGCTCAAAGGCATAAATTTTTTTTTCTTGTCATCCTTATTCATTGTCCAGTTCTCAAAGGCATAACAAGTAATTGGAAAGACTATGACCTGAAAATTAGACTGGAGCGCAGGGAAGCCAAAGAACAAGGAAGAATTCAAGATACTAAAGAGTTGAATAGAAGATTTCAAAAGGCAACACGGGAAGACAAAGCAAAATATTACAATGAAATGTGCAAGGAGTTGGAGTCAGAAAATCAAAAGGGCCGAACCCGCTCAGCATATCTTAAGCTCAAGGAACTGAAGAACAAATTCAAACCT